TTCCACTTTGACAAATCGAGCTACGTGCTTTAAGGATTCTATCCACTTTTCTTGTGATCCGTTTACGCCTATCGATACATGCAGGCAATCATTTAGGCAATTCACCAGTTAGGGACATGGGTTTAGGGCCAAAGGTTAGTGTGGGGTATACTGTAATCCTACTCCCACTTTAACCTTGACCCTAACCTTTGTCCCTCACAGCTAATAAGCTGCATGAGAAACTAGTTAATGTTGTAAGTTTCAAGGAAAATTTGGTATTGGATTTTTGCAATCAGATTTGGATTACAACCATGCTCATTTGAATTACAACAAGCCCATAGGAGAAAAACATTGTCTGAATATTGTTGAGTAAACTCAAGTTATCTAAGAAATTAAATTATTTTAACTTGATTATTTTAACTAAATCAAGACACTGGGCAAGTATCTTAAGCACATGCAAATAATATTCAGAGCATTTTTTCCCTAATACTTGTTAAAAAGGTCTGTGGCATTGGGATGGGCAGAAACTTTTCTGTTAGTTCTAACTTACCAATTGCACACATGCCAATTTGTACTGACAAAGTTTCCACAGATCTAATGGCAAGATGCATTGCTCCTGGAAAATAATGTTGCATATCACAGTTAGTAAGATTTACTCGCCCTTGGTTGCCTAAGTTGTTTCGTGCAAATTCCGATCTTGGAAGTGTGGTTTTGTCTTTCATCCAATTCTTCTCTGCTTCCTTTGTGTATTGAACTGTTCAGACTGGGCCAGTGGAGATAACCAACATGTTACCCAACAAGGTGGTGTGTTCAGGAGCCTCTGGAATTGGGAATGTCGATCTTGAAGAACTACTGCCAGTGTCAATCAGACGCTGTTTGCCATCTGCACAACTTCTATAATACACTTGAATGGGACTTTCACACTTGGGAACATGAATCTCTTTCAATTGAGCATACTCTTCATACAAACATCCAAAACATTTCTTGATCGTGTCATAACCATCTGGACCAAGGTATACACCAGCAGTAATGACTAGTCGGTTAAGGTTGTGGCATTCAACAACTTTCAGATGTGAGGTGGTGATACCAGTGAAATACCTTGACCACTATAACCATGGAGCTAAATCTGTAAACTGGTATACAAGCACTTTTTTCTTGGGTGCAATTTCAGATATCTTGATAGCCGGGCGAGAGAGCAGGTACTCCAAATACTTAGCAACATTAACCTTTGCCACAACTATATCATCATGAACTTCAAAATTCAGACCTATCAGCTCTGTCAGTTCTTGTTTTTTTTTCTTCAGGTGTTCTACTATAAGGGCTTTAGGCAGAATGACATTGACACCAAGCACTGCTGAGAGATACTTTCCCCAGGTATTTCGCAGAACATTTTGGAGTTGTTTTTGCCCAATAGAAAATGAACCTACAATTCCCGACGCAAATTCAAGAAATTTGTCTTTGTTCTTTTCAAAAACAAGTGGCATTAATCTTTCCCTGAATATCTTTCCATTCTCAGCTTCAATTATAGCACTGCACAATAATGTCTTGTTACTCTTGCAGAACGGGTTACTTACTAAATTCTCCGGCTTGTGTTGTTGGTTGGCTCGATAATGGCGCAATAAATTATTGTAGGAACCGTAGTTGTTCTTGCATACAGAGTATTCACAGCGAAAATTGCTTGAAGAGGAAGTCATTTTGAAATATTTATCGATACAAGAAACAGACAGAGGTGTTTGTAAAGCCCGCCAAAACTCGGTATGTTCGATTTGTCACTTGCCCATGTTGCACGTAAAGTACAACTTGTTTTTACCCTTGAAATCGGATTGAAAACAACACAAACCAAGAAAATAATTATAAAACAGAAATATTTATTAAGATACCTTAATAATACAGAAATCGGCATCTTAGAAAGTCTAATTTTTAAGCAATATTTAGTTATCACTATCCTGTTCAAGTCCGAATACAAGTCCGATAACAATAAATATGCATTAAATCAACATGATTTTAGTTCGTATCAGGTTTATTTGTCTTTCAGATGCACCAAAAATCCATTCATGTCTTGTATTTCATTTCTTTTGTCAATTCGTACCAAAAATTGCAAAAGATCAACCAAAATATGAACAAAACATCGCTCTTTGCTCCATCAGCAGCCGGAAAAATTTAACAAATAAATGCGCGCACAGATTTCTGGTATGGATTTCTATCTGCGTTGGAAATCATGCTTTGCGAGCTTAGTGTGAGATCAACTCGAAAGTGATATGAAATAATATTCTACATATAGGATTGTTTTTGGCTTTGTCAATAGCTCTGTTTTGGCTAAGACCAGGCATTTTATTTTCACTCTTCAATGGAAGAATGGCTGTATGGTTTATATAATGTCAAAATGTGAGAAAATAGAAACCAGAAATAGCAGAGTTTGCCCACTTTTTCTATTTGTGGTAAAACTATGCACAATACAATAATGATGACGGTTAATATGATGGCTTTACTCTTGTATGTTAAACGAAGTTCGACACATTGCCAAAGTATGGCATGCCAGACGGGACAAAAATACTTCCTTTAAAATACATGACTTGTTTTAGAAAATTACACCAATAAATGTGCGCATATAGAACTTTCCAAAGGATTTAAAACTTATCTTACAAAAACTACACCTTTTCAAAGAGAATAATATACTTTTTTTGGAACAGTAGTTGTTATATTTTAAAACTATCCAACACGCAAAAGACTTGTTCCTTTTAATAACACTTCTTTTTTAATTTGATCACGGGCTCAGAAAATATCGCAGGCACAAGAATAATCACATCATAGGATCCTTAAACGCGCGAAAATAGTTTGTAAATCATGGTGGCGGAAATAGTTGAAGATACAATTGTAGAAGATGTGCACCGAAATGCACAATACGGGCAAATTCATCCATGTCTTTTTCCCGGAAAAGATCTTTTTAATTAAATGGGTCGTAACCGCTTAACATACGACAAAATTTTGGCCGAAGTTCTTCATAATTGATGTTCTGCCTTCATTGAAAGGCTCGTCACAATTTCAAGGAATGTCGCTTTCACTGATGAAATAGTCAACGACTTTTGTTCGTTAATCAATGAATTTCAGTGCATGAAGTGTATTTATGAAGAGTGTTTTAATGGCTTTGGTAGAGATTTACAATATGTGTGCCCAATAGATAGCAACAAAATTCTGGGAAAGGACGTCTAAAAATACCCTGTGCCTAGCTTGTTGGTCTACGTTCACTGAACTTCACATGGAAAGCAATTTCAGATATGCTAGGTGTGTCTGTGAAAACAATTTTACGTCGAAGACATGAACTCTCTTTACCAGTTGGGGAGGACACTTATACTTGTATTACAGATGAAGAATTGGGCTAGATAATTTCATCTATTCTCAACTCATCACCAAACTCAGGAGAAAGAATAGTTATGGGCGCACTTACTGCAAAGAATCTTAAAGTTAAAAGGAAGAGAGTTTGTGCATCAATTTTCCATGTCAATCCAGTTATTCGAATGCTTCAAAGACATACTTCAATCAAAAGAAAAGTTTATAATGTCCCCACTCCAAATGTCCCCACTCCAAATGCACTATGGTATGTGGGTAAAGGTGTAAATGTAATATGGGAAAACGTTTAAGCACAATTTGAAATGTGAGTTGTTATTCCTGGAATTATTAGCATTGCATTGGAGAAATAATTTGGGAGTGTTGGAAATAGTTGTTTGTGTAACAATGGGCTTCTGTTTTTTACCCTCCAATTACTGGGAAGAATTTCATAATCAAATAATACAAGTGAATATTATCTAATATACAATCAATGCAATTTGCTTTTGGTGACCAAATAAGGGATACATGATTACCAGTTATTTTACTTATTTACCAATATAAATGCAATGTTTACTCATCTATAGGCATTTGGATGGGAATAATAAGCTCATATGATGGAGAATGGTGATTCATGGAGGTATAGATGGGTATTCCAGAGCAGTTGTGTTCCTCTGATATTCTAATAACCATGAGGCTGTAACTGTCTTGGAACAGTTTTTGCATGGCCCTAGAAAATTTCACTCTCCTTGTCGTATACGCACAGATCATGGAACAGAAAATGTGGAAGTTGCAAGATACATGTTGCAGAAATACAACATACAATCCAATCCTGTTATTACAGGCAGATCAGTCCATAATCAGAGGATTGAATGGTTGTGGAAAGATGTCTTCAAATATGTGCTTCAACATTACCATAATCTTTTCTATTTCCTTGAGGCAAATGGTGACCTTGATACAGACAATGAAATTCATATGTGTGCTTTACAATGTCTTCATGCTAAGAGTGAACCGGGCACTTGACTCCTTTATAGCACAATGGAATCAACATCCCATCAGAACCGAGGGAAATCCATAACAACTTTGGACAGCAAGTTTTTATGAATTTGCTGAGTCTGACTACAGGGCAGTTCGAGATGTCTTGGATTTTGAAACAGTCAACTTCAACGAGTATGGTGTGGATGATGATGGGCCTACCTCACAATTGCAAACAAATAATCATGTGGTTGTACCAAGATCCCTTGTTGAACTATCTGAGGAAGAGGAAGTATTCCTGCATAGTCATGTAGAACCACTAAATGAGGATGGAAACTTTGGAATCACCCTGTATAAGAGATCTATAAACCTTGTAGAAGAGTTCCAACAAGAAATAGATTAGGGACAAGTATATTGCTTTATGGGAAATACATATTGGAAATAGGCAAACATATAAGCAAGCAAGCCATTTAGTTAAGCTGACACATGAAAAAAATACCTGAACCAATGTATTTGGCTCTGTCTGAACTCTAAACACAACATGGTAATAGCAATACTCCTTGAATAGGCAACAGTTGTCAATCTTAAGCCTAGTTTCCATATGGTCGCAATGGTCGTAAACGTGTCGTAAACATGCTGTCGTACACAAGTCGTACTGTGTGATGTGTGTGTCGGTGACCGGTCGCAAAAACAACAGCTTGGCGGGAGTTTTTAAAAACAAAATGGCGGCTGTCAATGAGCGGTTTTTACTACAATCATTTTTATTTCTTATACTGGCACGAAAACGAATAAATAGAAGAAAGAAACATAAATTCTGGGTGCGAGAGATATTAAGGGAGAGAGAGCAGTGTGGTTTCTACTATACACTCGTCCGCGAGCTTCGCCTTCATGATCGAGAATATTTTTATCCGTAGGTTTAAGATGGTTTTGTATTTTAAACTCATCAAAGTAGTTTGGGAAAAAGATGAGAAGTTATAAGTTATAAAGGTTACCGTTATTTTTTTCTCGTTTTGTCAAAATGTCCCCAGAAAGACTGGAACACTTGCTTTCCTTAGTTGCACCATTTATAACAAAAAAACCTTGTCGATCAAGAAAACCAATATCTGCCGAAGAACGTCTCATACTAACACTACGTTACGTTGCAAGTGGGGACTCCCATCAGTCCCAGTCATTTTCATTTCGCGTTGGTCGCACTACGGCATCCCATATTATACGGGAAACATGCAAAGGCATTTGGCTTGCACTACAAAGCACATACCTGAAAGCACCTTCAACTGTTGAGGATTGGTTAAATATTGCCAATGATTTTGAGAAGGAGTGGAACTTTCCTCATTGTTTGGGGGCAATTGACGGTAAACATATTGCAATGGAATGCCCACCAAATTGTGGGTCGACTTTTTTTAACTACAAAAAGTTTCACAGTATGGTATTGCTGGCAGTATGTGATGCAAATTATTGCTTTACAATGGTAGACATAGGAGCACCTGGAGGAAGTAATGATGCAGCTGCATTAGCTGATTCTGTATTTGGTCGTGCATTTGAAAACACCCCATTATCACTAAATGTACCAAAACCAAGCCCTGTTGGCAACACAGAGCTTCCATATGTACTTGTTGGAGATGACATCTTCCCACTAAAACCATGGCTAATGAAGCCTTACCCAGGGCAAGGATTACAAGAACCTGAAAGAATTTATAACTACAGGCTTTCTAGAGCAAGACGTGTAATAGAAAATGCCTTTGGTATTTTGGCATCTAAGTGGAGACTATTACGAAGGCCTATTAAGTCAGGAATTGAACAAATCGAAGGAATTATAACTGCAGTCATATGTTTGCACAATTACTTGAAATTAACTGACAATGCAAATTACACACGAACAGGATTTGTTGACAGTGTAGACAACTCCGGGAGTATTATACCTGGGGACTGGCGAAATTTGGTTGATAACGACTTAGGTTTGACAAACATTGGTAGAGTAGGTGGCAACAGATATACCTTTGAAGCAGGTGTATCAAGAGACAAGTTCAAAAACTATTTTAACAGTGACCAGGGACAAGTCCCTTGGCAACTTGGTCATGTGCAAAGTTGTGGTGTAATTCATGAATGAATTCCCAAAAAATTAAATTTGCAAACCTGAATGATTACATAAATTAAGAGAAATAAATCTAAATATTACTCAATAATTTCACAATTGAATAATCAAAATATTTTAATGTTAATTTTTATCAAAATACTTGTTAATATGTATCAAGATTCCTGTACTTGTACAAACTTTGCATGAATATTTTGTAAATAACTGTTTGTAATAACAACAATAATTTTCAACTTGTGTAACATCCATTGAATAAATTATGAAACATATTCAGAAACAATTTCAACACAAACTAATTGATAGTATTTAGTAATATCTCATTCTCTAAGAATCAGCATTAGATAAACCTGGCAAATTGAACTCTGCCTGAAAAAAGAGCTGCTCAACTTGAACTCGTATATATGCCTTTGCTCTGTCAGGCAATCGTTTGAATCGAGGTACAAGGCTTTGAAAAAATAAACTTGCACCATCATCTTCTTCATTTGTATTTTTCTCACTGGCTAGCCTACCTTCCCTTGATTCTTTCAGGTGATCGTGAATGGATTTTGCTGTGTTCATTAGAACTTTGTCTATCTCAGCCTTAGTGGGCTTCTTGTTTAAGTTACTCCATTGCCTTTTCTTCTTACTGCAGGTATCAGTTACAATAACATCTGGTCCTCCTGGGTCATTGTTCCCTTCTAAGGCTTCCATACTTTCCCCACTGTTTTCAATTTCAGGCAAATTGTCGTTATTAACCTCATCATAGTTTTCACAGTCAAGCGTTTCTCTGTTTTCTACACTCTGGAAATCCTCAAATAGGCAAACGTTGTCTAAGGAGGGCCGTAAGTTGGAAGTATGTCTTTTTAATTTGGACATATTCGTTGTAGTTCGACGGCTGCTTATGTACGGACGCAACCATTCAAACGCTGCGAACTCGGCTTCTTGATGTTTGAACTTATCTGCACCAGAACCAGACGGAATATTTTGTACTTTTCTCATATGTCGAGTATACGATGAATGAAGGTTCATGAAAAAGTTGACCGATCTTTGTCCAACAATTTATTTTCTTGTACTTGTCTTTAAAATCTTTATTGAATTTGTTGTATAAACAATCGTACCGCTGCACTTCAGCAAGAAATTCGTTTTTGTTAAATGGTTTGCTTTCCACGACATCTTCAGTGGAAACAGAAACCACTATAGAACAATCTTGTTCCTGATCTTGTCCTTGTCTTTCCGCCATTTTGCGCAGTGCATTGTGGGCCGATTGAGTTCGCAAACTGGTCGTAATCTCTCGCAAGATTGCCGTAATAGCGTTTCCATTCATTTTTGTTTGCTTCTGACGTCTTTATCATGTCGCAAACAGTCGTAGAGATAGAAATGTGATCTATCTCTACGACACTGTCACAGTTGTCGTGAATAGGTCGCAACAGAGTTTTAACTGATGTTTCCATTCAGTCGGGAAGATTTTTCTACGACATTTACGACACGTTTACGACCATTACGACCATATGGAAACTAGGCTTTAGAGAAAAGTCCCTTTGTAAATATAAACAACTGAAACATAAAATGTGCAGTAAAGACATGCACAAAGAAACACCAACAATAACATTAATAAACAATAGTTGCTATTTGTTTAGTAACCTAATATAATTTGTTTAGTAACCTGAATAATTTATATGAATATACACTCCCAAATATTGTTTAAGTTACACCTCTGCTGTGTAGGTGCAGCACAAGTATGGATGTCACCCCTAATAAAAGCATAAAATTTAGCAAATGCTTGCAATGTTTAGGCATTATTGACTTAAGAATCATAAGCATGTGCAGTCAGTGCAGGTATACAAAATGCCTTGGGAAAATGAGTTCAGTAAATCAGCAGCTTTAATATATTTTTCCAGCAACTCATTAGCTATAACAAAGACGCATAAATAGAAAAAAATTCCTTTGCATGACATTTAGAACAATGCTATTTTGCCAGCTCCCCAAAAATTTGCCAAATGTCATGCTTTTATTATTCTTGTTACAATTTTCAAGCCAGCTGTTAATAAAGTTAAATTGCAATTCAGCTAGAATCTAAAGATTTCCAAAGCCACAACAGTCGCACAGATCAGCAGATCAACAGATAAAAAGATCCCCAAGTTCTTGAGACGAGCATGAATGAATTGGTAGTATTATCACCAAAGCACAAGTAGATGCTGCTGGTCTGCACTTGCAACCACTGGGACAATCATGCCTGAAATAGACGTTAAGAGAGCAAAGAAAACCAATGGGTGGAATAGATTCACAACCAGTAATAAATTTCAACACATCCTTCAGTTTCAAATCTGGAGCCTCACATATACCTACAGTGTATAAAGAAAATTAAAAATAGTCTTTCGGAAATTGTTGTATTGGAGCTAGATAAAACTTCAAATGATACCTTCATAGTACAAAGTCTTGATGAAATCTGTAAAGTATTTGAATATGTCCTGTTCTTTTGTTTTCAAAAGCTGTTGTTCACTAAAATGTACAATTAATTGCTGAATGAGGTCATCAGCTGTGATATCAAAGCTGCCTTAACTCTGCCAACATCAAGGGAAACATTAAGGTGTTTTAGGCCATCGCTGCTGTTGATGGAGACGAAAGCAGGAGCAGGATCAACACGTAAAACAGCATGTGGACCTTAAATTGAGTGGAGTGCAATAATGAGTCGTGTGAGAGTGTCCTTTAGTGTTTCGTGCTTCTCATCAGGGATCAAACATAAGCTTGTGAAGGAAGTAGAGCACTCTCTGAGCACAAGGATGAGTTGGCATTCTCTTTTGATTACGTCTGCGACAAAGGAAATCCCCAGAACTTCAGGAGGGTCGTCTCTAGACTGAGGGACGAGGGAACTTGGAAATTTGTGAAGGGACGCACAAGTGTGACAGGAGGAAGACAATTGGGTTAGGGCAGAATTAATGTCAAGGGCATAGAAGTGGCAATGGACGACTGCTTGTAGTTGATGGCGAGAAGGGTGATTCAAGCGAACGTGAAGAGCAGTTAGTAGACCGTCCAGGACGGAACGTGGTACCACTATTGCTTCAGTTGTCGCACAGAATGGTTGATCACATTTAACAACGAGGAGACCGTCCTTCGAGATGGAGGCAACATTTAAATAGCGCTTGACGTCTTTGATGTTCGTGAGTTTCTTGGAAGGTCTGGTTCCTTGCTTTAGGTGAGCATGTACTCTTCTGAGGTTGGGGCAGTCGTTTTGAATTTTGCGCCAGGCTGAATGTGTCATGAAGGGAAGAAGCTTTTTCTTATTAATAATGTCTTGCACGGACAAGCTGCGGACGACAGAGTCCTCTGTCTCGTTAATGAAAGAGCAGACTTGGCAGTTTTCATTCGAACATGATGGGGCATTCTGGCTGGAGAAGTCTGAAGGGAGATTTGCAGTGCCGGCTAAATGCTGCAAGGTGACTTGGTATCGGCTGACCGTTGTAAGAAATTAGGTGACTCTCTGGCTGGCTGAAAACTCTCCTCGACAGAGCTTGTCGATAGCCTGGAAGGGAGGGCTTGCTATCAGTCAGGATACGTGTGAGCTGTTTAAATTGTATTATGTAAGGGCTGAAATGCTTCACAACGGAAGCAATGCTGAGGGCTTCAATTTCACAAGGTAACCAGTTGACTTAGTGTTTCCTGAGTTTAGCGCTGAATAATCCAGCCAGATGAAGATGATTATCTTGGGTAACGTACAGAGTGGCACCCATACCATGTTTAGTTACGGAGCCATCTGTGACGATCCACAGAGTATCTGATGGGCGAGGAAGTGTTATTTCTCTGGTTGACCTAAAAGCTTGCTGAGCGACGTTGAACAATATATTTTATATATACAATACAATATGTTTTAAATATAATTACCGCAAACTTTCGGTCCTCTACCATCCACAGCCTTCTCCCCAATGAAGTTGACCTTGAGAGAATTTTGAAGATTAAACCACTTGTTGTGATTGTTAGCATCTACATAATCTTCACATAGCAGTTTGCGACAAACATATGTTGTACTTCTTGCTTCATGAATATTCTTCTGAAGAGCTCCTAAACATTCCTGAAGATTAATTTGATCATTCTTTGAAAGCACTTGTTTCTGCATCCACATCAACACAACTCGTTTCTGCATCCACGTCAATAGTGTCATCACATGGAAATTCCTTTAGTAAATCTCCATATGTTTACCTGCTGGAGGAAAAGCCATCTGCTAATTCTGCACAAGTATCAGCATGTTCTGAAATCTCAGTTAAAGGGAAACTTCCGTAGCATGTGGGGCACTTGCTTTTTTTGTGGTGACGCCAGAGGTACTTCCTTCACCTTGTTCACTATCATGAACTTTAGCTTTAGTGTTATCTTTCTTACTCTGTTGGAATGCATGCAGAAGCAGAACTTTGTCATCACTACTTTCCAATGGCAAATCCTCCACTTGGTCTGCAATACTTGAGTCATCATCGCTCCACTGATTCTTAAGTCCTATTGGTCTTTAGTATTTTAGTCTTAAGTATTTTAAGACTTTTCCGGTGTATGTTTCACACCAGGGATCAACTATTTTGTTTCCAACTGCTCTAACAAATTTGAATTTTGAACTTTTCACCAAATGCAGTGATAATTTTATTTCTGATTTCCTTCTCAGGGTGGCTATCGCAGATTTCAAAAGCAGAAATACAACATACTTGCATATACAATTTCTCCCTCTTCAACCCACATGGCATATCAACAATTTTCGGCGATGGCAAAAGAATCACATTATGCAAAACAGGTTTTTCTTTGTGCGAATTCCCTTTATCAGAAGAATTATCGAACTGCTTTCTCTTTTTACCCAGGTTCTTCTTTCCTTTCTTCGGTCGATAGCGGGCGATGGCTCAAAGTTTCTAACACTAGGAACATAGCTCCGGGTCAGAATCAGTGCTTGGATAGAGGCGCCTCATTGTATTTTCTATGGTCTGTCCATTACCTCTTAACTCTTGATTGTTATTGTTGTTATTTTGAATTCGGAGTTGACTTCCCTCTTTTAGATTATCAACAGC